TTATTTAATTAAAATAATTGATTAATTTATTTAAGTTTTATGTTATTGAATTTTTTAGGAAAAAAATTGGAAACGAGGTTGAAAATAATTTTGAAAAAAATGAGTGAAAATTTGAGTTCGGTGGAGTTTTTTGAAGGAAAAAATAGAAACAGGAGGGTCAAAGTGCAAAAAAAAAAAATTCAACCACATGGGACGACTCAGTCAGTAGCTTCGACGAATTGGAGCACACCGCGTGTCAAAACATGCTAACGCCGGCGCCACGCAGGAGGCCACACGGGCGATCTGTGTGCCCAACAATCCGATGACTCAAGTTTGATCTTGCCCGCGTGAACGGCTCAGATTCATTCCCTTCTTAGGCACGATCAGATGAATGACATCAATAGTGATGAACGATGTAGATTCGTTTACTTTTTAAGCATGATTGGACGAATGAGATCAATCGTGATGAACGGTCAAAATCGATGCTGGATGAGTATAAATATCTCGCGTCGCAGGAGAACTCAAACCCAAGTCGCCAGCTCCCGTCAGAGAAGAAGAACCAAGCGTCGGAGAAGAAGGTCGACCGCTGACCGCCGATGCACTGGAGCCACCGTCTTAGCACCAGAGCCACCGCCGACCGCTAAAAAATATAAAATTTTTCCCTACCCACTCAGAATTCAATTTTAAGCATTCATGTGGCCATATCGGAGCAAGAGAGATGGCGGGTGAGTCGAAAATTGCGGGCAAAGTCCGATGGAGTCAAACGCAACCAAAACAAAAAAATTCCTCCGATGAGCCCCTTCCCACTTCCCGTTTCACGCGATTTACCGATCATTGTATTCACCATCCTTTTTTGTACAGGTTAACCAAAGAAGAAGCCCCAGCCGTGAAGAGAATCAGTAGAGCTGCCGTACCCCGGGACCCCCCCACTGGTAGGTTCGATTTTTTGTGATTTTATGGCCAATTGAGGTTCCCAAACGTATTTTTCTACAGGGATACGTGTAAAACCAACTAAAACTGACCAAAACTGGCTAGGCTAAAGCGAACCATTGCTATGGGCAGCGGTGTCGGTGCTAGAGCACAACGGCGGTGCATGTCAGAACCCCAAAATTGGCCGAAAAGAATTTTGAACACCGATTTTGAATTTTTGAGGTAATTTTAGGTACATGACGAGTGTTTTGGATTCTGCAGAAAAAAATTCAAAAAACTCGGTACTCATTAGGAGACGTAGTAGACAGCGCGAAGTCTTAAAATACTGATCTAAGTAAGGATCCCTCACTCTATTCTCCGTTACGGTAAAGTAAGGCTTAACGATGTATAATTTTATATTTTTGTAAAAAACTTAGAAAATCTTAAAAATAATTACAGGTCACTAATGGAGGCAAAACCGGTTAGTTCACAATTGTCCTAATTTTTTTTTATTTTCTTATATTGTCCTACTTGTTTGTTA